CAGAAATACTAGCTATGTACTATGTTACTACTTAGTGTAACTGCTAACTGACTCAACAGGCGAAACCTAAAATTGGCTGTTTTAACACAACAAAAGTTACTTTGTTCAAGTAAATTCTGATGGCAGTTGTCAGGGTCTCTCTGCTCTCAGATAATAATCTAGGGATCCAGGCTGCTTCCATCCTTTTGCTTTATCATGGAAACATAGGGTAAGCCAATGTTTGCTAATAAGTGAAAGAGAAAGCATGGGAATTGCCCACTGGCTTCTGCCTAACAATACATGGACTCTAAATGTCATTTTCCCCTTTGTCCTGGAAAAAGAGAAAGATAAGATGTGGATGAGTACTTGTAGTCTTCCCCATCAGCTGTCAATAATAAGTGAGCAATAAAATAAACTATTACAATGTGTTATTACAAATCTCTTCATTTCTTGGAGGAGTTCCTGAGAAAGTCAGATGTACTTTGTATAATCCTATAACTTTTCAAGTGTTTACTGTGTGACAGAGGCTTTCAAACACAGGATCACATTGAGTTTTTGAAGGATTATGTAACCATTTTCAGGGAGCCTTTGTCCTTCCTTTACTCAATAGCACATTTCATCCATGCCCTTTGGAATAACCTTTATAATTTCATTAGGCTGAGAAGTTTCTCCTTCCTTGTGATGCATGGTCCAAATTTTAACTTGTCTCTGCTGTCCTCCCCATGACTGAACAACTATCTACACAGATGCCATTAGGCAAACTGAAAACCAAGATTTTCCTGGGAAGGTACACAGACCAGAAGCAGTGGAAATATATTTTTTCTTTTTTGTTTTTTACCAGAATTAGCATATCCACCAAAGAACCAATTTTCAACTCCTAGGAGGATTCCAGGGTTTTAGAAATTCAGCTTTAGTAGATGTTTACTCCACAGTGATTTCCATGGTCTTTCTTCATCTACCATTTATGAGGAAGCCTTTGGTGTGCTTTTACTGGTATATCCTTTATATTTTTTAAATTTCTTTTAATTAAATTTATAGGGGTGACTTTGGTTAATAACGTCATATATGTTTTAAATGTACAATTCTATATATTGCATTGTGTATTTACCATCCTAAGTCAACTCTCCTTTGGTTTTTAACTTCCTAGGTAAGCTAATCCAACTGTGTATGTGTTCATTAGCCAGTTTCAAAGACATTATAATCACATCCTACCGCAAATATCAGAAAGATTTTAAAAACTCTCTAATTTCAAGGTTGTAGAACAAATCAGTACACTATGTGCCAAGTCAGAATCTACTCACTCTGGAAAACACTTGGGGAGTGGTTGAAGAGGCTAAGGGGTTGAGGGAAACCAGGCATCTGAACATCAGTTTCCCAAGTGAACCTTTAAGTCGAAGGGGATGTTACTATCAGAGAAGTTTCAGGGGGAAGGATGGGACAGCCAGGGGTCTTCTGCAAGGAATCAGGATGCTTTTTGTCAGGGGAAGGGCAGATGATTCTAGGCCAGTGATGGCGAACCTTTTGAGCTCGGCGTGTCAGCATTTTGAAAAACCCTAACTTAACTCTGGTGCCGTGTAACATATAGAAATTTTTTGATATTTGCAACCATAATAAAACAAAGACTTATTTTTTGATATTTATTTTATATATTTAAATGCCATTTAACAAAAAAAATCAACCAAAAAAATGAGTTTGCGTGTCACCTCTGACACGCATGTCATAGGTTCGCCATCACTGTTCTAGGCTGTTCCACCAAGAGTAGGGCACAGCTTTCAGAGGAAAAGATAGTGAAGAGCAGGTTCTAGGGTATAAAGAGAGGGCACATGGGGGAAGACCAGGGGAAAGGTGCTATAATTCAGAGAAGTTCTGAGACCAGAAAGAAATACAGAGGCAGCTCTTAAGGAACACTGGAACTTGGGCAGGAGGACCTTAGGTTAATAAAGCCACAGACAAGACCCAAATCATTTTTTATTTACATTGTCACCTTCCTTCTTTAGGCCTGCTTATAGTATCCTTTTACAGAGAGATATTATGAAGAACTGAGAAAAATAAATTAAGAGATGGAATGTCTGCCTCAGGCTATGAGGTATGGTGTCGAGTAACACTCGCTCCACGTTCTGCGTGGAGTAGGGTTCGGTATCTGAAAGTGGAGCCGCACAACAAATGAGAGAAAAAGACACGAGATAATTTTGCAATATTGGGGGACCAGGCGGGCAAGTCCCGAAGGACTTCCTCCAGTGCTCAGGCCTCACCAAGCTTTTATTGATCTGGGATGCACCCATAGCATAGCCCTTAGGCAGGTGACCCCTGGCAACAGACAGACTAGCCCATCAGCAAGGATTTACATAATAATAAATGGGAGAGTAGTTTCAGCTACCACTGTCTGGACAAACAGAGGTGGCGCCTAGCTCCGACCTTTGTTAGGGCTTCAAAGGCACCCAGCCTTCGGGGGGTTTCTGTCTATGCTTAGCAGATAGTGAAGGCAATGAATGGACTCCGGCAGTATGGGAGCAACATGGAATGCTGATGAATTTAGACCTGAGATCTAGTCTCAGCCTTGTCACTTACTAGCTATATGATAATAGGACATTATCAAGTGCTATGAACTTCAGGTTCTTCATCTGCAAAGTGAATTTGATAAGCTCTGTCTTATAGAACTGTTGCAATATACGTATGTATGTGGAAAGCCTCTGGCACAGTGCCTGGCATATATTGGATCTTTAATTAATGGTGAGGAATCCAGCTTCTGGTTAAAAATCCTAATGTGTGGTTTTTCAGGTCTAAGTATAGACAATTACAAAGGCTTCCCTTGGCAGGCCTCCTGAAGAAAAGCTGCCCTCCACACCTCAGATTGAATGTATCTGAAATGGATTGCAGTTCAAGATTCAGGCCTCTCTGGCAGGTCATTCCCTTCTCATATTTGCAGTCCTAGTCCCTATACTTTCATTCCAAAGTGTCTTTATATGAGGCCTTGGACAGAGGTCCTCTTCAGGGCCTCTGCTGAGGCCTCCTTCTGGGAGGAGGAGGAGGAAATCTTGGAGACACTTTTTCCATGTGCCTTTTCACTTCTAGCCCTTCCTTCTTTGCTTCCTCTGATTCCAGGATCCATAAAACTGCTAGAGCCTTTTGTTCTGGCTCCGTCAACAGTGATCAGATCCCCCTGGTCTGTGCTGATCTACCTGACCCTCACTGGTGTGCTGCTCCATAAAGGAAAATAAAACAAGGAATGGTCACTTTCTTCTATTTTACACTCTCGCTTATACCATCACAGGAAGTGATTAAAGGTTTAACTTCACTGTATTTGGCTTGTTGCTCTAATCAGATACTCTGACACCTGGCAGCTTAGCTCTCACTGGAGCTCAACAGAGCTCCTGACACATGGCCATTGTTTCTAATATTTTGACCCCAGAACCTACAGCGGTGTCCTCTGGGAACTTTTGTTATCCAAGACTTCTTAGAGAATATGCAGTGAGTGCTCTTAGACACTAGACACCAAATCAGTCCAAAACACTGCTCCTTAAATAAAACTAAGTACATTTTCTTAGAGAATACACTATTTAATTTGGGTATGGGTTAGTCTTCCCCAGCTGGAATCAACTCAGAGATCCTAGAATTCAACTCCAAGACCAATTCCTTCCTTCTCTCTAACTTCTCTTCCATTCAAAACACCATTTTCATTCATTTCACTGCCATCAAAAATATTTTCCTTGCTTAGAGTTAGCCAAAGTGCACTCAAGATAACCTAATCATAATGTCATTTTAATGGAGGAGTCTCTGGCTCTCCCAGGCCAGGCAAAAGAGTGCCAGCCTGGGCATCACTTCAAGGGAATATGACACTATTTTTTTCCTGTTAATCCACACCTTAGGATATTTTTCCACTGATTTTTAGAGAGAGTGAAAGGGGGAAGAGAGAGAAAGAGAGAGAGAGGGAGAGAGAGATGAGAGATATGAGATACATCTATTGGTTGCCAATGTTTTAACCACTGAGACCATGGTCCAGGACTCATATTGTACTTTAAAGGAAATCTTTGCAGATCATGTGTCTAGAACACCTAGTTCAAACATTCTGCTCAAATGTGCTGTGTGATTAACGTTTAAAAATCCTTATTGTTGAAAGTATTACGACAGTAACCGAATTTCCTGTGTTTTTAAGAGTTCAGGACACCTTCCATACCAGTCTCAGGTGGAGATTTCTTTGTTTTATCCATGATCTAAAAGTAACTGCTAATTGAATGTTTCTATTCTAGACTTTTCTCTCAACTGAGTCTGACCCCTGTCACTATCCAGTTTCATTATAATCAACTCCCACAGAAGGAATCTTAGTTTCTGAAAGTCCCAAACTGTATTATCTCAGGGCATTTTTACTTGACTGCATCCATATGGAGTCCTACCATCTCTCTCCTGTTTACCTTGTTAGCTCTTAGTGGACATCTCACCATCTTCCTGATGGCCTTGTTGCTCCTATCCTCTACCATTCCATGACTAGCAGTGTGTCCTGCTAATCCTAATGTCCCCACTATAACCCAGGGCCTTCTAAAGAGCAAGCACTCAATTCATGTTTGAGGAATAAATGATCCAGTGAGAGATTTCATTTAAGATTTAATTTCTCCTATATTTTTAATAGGCCAAGAAAATCTAGGTACATATAATTTAATTTTACAGAGTAAATAAATAAAAAGTTAGCTATCTTTTATGTTTTCTCCTCTGTTGCTTAAAACTACATATTTTACTGCTGGGATCTTTCACATTTATAAGGAAATTCCTTATCTAATGCCATATTATCTTGTTCTTGTTCTTGTGCTTATTGTTACTGTAGTACTTCAGTGAACAAGGACTCACAAAAAGATGGGTGATTTCCTAATTCCTTTTGCTAAATTGTGAATTCTTATTCTTAAACATGATAAACAGCTATAAATGTTTGACCACTGTTATTAATAAGCTCAGATTCTGAAGCTAGTTAAACTTTTTATTGCAAGGAAAAACAATTTAAACAAAAAAAGATAAAATCTCCAAATCACCTATATTGAACAGGAACACTAAGGTGTTCCCTCCATATCCACCCCGGTCCTCCACTACTTAGAACTTTGGCCACTGTGTTCAAATGGAGAGTGAAGAATGGTAAGCTTCAGACTTCACTCAGGGCAGGAGAAGCTGCTGGACAGGACACTTGAACTTTCATCGGTTGTGGCAGTAGTATCATCCGAGGAAACTTCAGCCTGGGCTTTCTCTCTCTCATCTCTCAAAGCTTCCGCATACAAGTTTGTGAAGGAAGTGGGGTCAGTCCCATTGATCCTGGCTAGAAACTTCAGGACTTTCATCTTGGTGGTTTCAGCATGGGCCCTGGGACCCCACAGGACCTCATAGCGTGGAGGATCACTGTTGGGCACCTGCTGGTACTCCAGGTACCTTTCCTGCACTAGATCTTCGGTGATGAGCTTCCTGGGATCCCCATAGATAAAATTATTCTTCCCAGCATGCACTCCAACCATATTCATAATTTCCAAGATTCTTTCCTCAGAGGCTCGGTTGCCCTCCATGAAGATTATGCCCAAGATAAGTATCAGGATGCCGGTCTTGGGCATAACCTGGTCATCACTCAGCATCCCATCGTAGGTGAGGTCTAGTGATTTGACAAGCACATAGGAATGGCTGGTGGGGTCCACTTCCTTCACTTCAATGCCAAAGACAATCTCCATGCACTCACAGGCTCTCTTGAAGATCACAGGGAAGTGATCCTTGTGCTCTCTGATGACACTCTCTAGCATTTCTGCCTTTGTGATGGGCTCCTTTGTGGCATACTTGATACTCAGGTACTGCACCAAGTCGTACACCTTATTTTGTAGCACTTCAGTGAACAAGGACTCAGGATTTGGTGGAGTCTGCAAGGTACTTGGATCCTCTTCTTGGTGGCTTGATAGAGTGACTGTGTTGGCAGTGGAGGAGGAGTAGGTTATCTGTAAACTCTGAAAAAGACTAAGTATCCCAGTGGCAGGCAAATCCTCTGGAGAGCCAGGGGTCAAAGGAGAGAGAGAGGAGAAGGAGGTGTTTGTGGTGCTGGTGGCTTCTTCCTCTTCAACTATGGGAACCTGTAAACCTACCAGGCCCTGTTCCTCTCTTGGGGCCTGAAGGTCTTCCTTAAGGTTGCAGCTGTCACTCTTCTGACCGTGAGGCATGACTTGTGTTGGGGACAGTTGGCCAATTGGGACCCACAGACCTGGAGGAGAGAGGGAGCGTGTCAGTACACTTAGCTGAGAAACTCATCCATGGTGGCTCTGACAAAGACAACTCACAGGTCTCCTCTTTAGGGGTGCTCTCAATTGTTTTCCTTATGGCCTGTCTCCTAAGATCTAGAAGAAGAAGTGAGATGGCTCCTCAGGGAGTAGCCAGCCAACAGAGCCAGAGGATTTCAGGGCTGATAGTACACTGGTAGGGTAGGTGGGAACTTGGTTGGCATTCAGGTTATGCACCTCACCTTGACTTTTGATACTACCTGGGTCTCTTCTGATATGCTGACCTGAGGACACATGCTTCAGACCAAGTCCCTCACCTCCCAGTTCCTATGATAATTGAGGCATACCTCAAGATGCAGATTACAGGCACAGTCCTCTTCCCCCAGTGTTGTCAGGAGGGGTGGGGCCACCTGTGAAGTCTCCATTTTTCTGGAGTAGATGTTTCCCTCAGTGTGCACTCAGAGTCCCAATCTTTCCCATGCCATAGTCTGGACCAGCGGTCACCAACCTTTAGGACCTTATGGACCACCAGTGGTCCACGAACTACCTGTTGGTGACCGCTGGTCTGGGCTACACCACTCTGCTTAGCTCCTTTGATTTCCTAAGGAGGAAGTGAGGGGGGACCACAGCTAGCCACACTTGCCTAGGGCCACCTGGGGCTGATAGCAAGCACTACATGGGTTTCAGTGGGGTCTCCTTTGTTTAGAGTAGGAGAGTCCATTATGTTATTAATGTTTATTCCTGAAAGTTCTTGCTCCATCCCCCACCACAGCAGATCTAGCATGCATCCTCAGATTGAAGATTCCACTCTTTAAGAGGAATCACTTCCCCCACCCCACATGGAAGAAGTGATAGCCTATCACACATGGCCATCTCTGCTTCGTGTCTTCCAGGTATGACATCAGGGGCTGGTACCAACTGTTCTCGGGTGGGGTTGCCCTTGGGGCTCCTTCAGGGTATTCAGCTTTACATCTGGAAGGACATAAGGCTACCCTTACCCCCTCACCTGCCATCTTGTCTTCAGACTTCCCTGAGACAAAAGTGAAAAGACACCACATCCAACAACTCCTGCCTGAAGTCTCCCAGAGCTGGCAGCAAGAACAGGGCAGGTTTCTGTGGAATGCACTCTCTCTGACTTGGGGACATACCCTCAACCCTCTTTGATACAGTCACAACTACTCCTGACAGGGCTTAGGGAACCTACATTCTGCTGACCTGAGAGTCCCTCAATCAGGCCATGGCCCCAATCTCCCTGGAAACAATGTCAAGGACTTACAGAGATTTGGGAGAGGTGCCTCTGTTATAGGAGTACCGGGCAGGAGGAATAGGGAAACAGACAGGAAAGTTAAAACAAAGCCAAACAGTGTGGGCAATTTGCAGCCAGTTTGTAAATAACAAGCCATTATCTTCCCCAGCCAAGGACATGAGAACAAATGGTTTAAAAAAAAATCTCCTTAATGAAAGAATGCAGAAAGGGAAGGAGAAAGGGGAAAGGATAAAAAGGGGCAGTTATACTCCCTAAACAGAGAAGCCAGCAGTTTCAAGGCTTGGCAAGATAAAGTTGCCAGGTGCTTCTCATGAAGTCTGGGAAGGCCACAACAAAGTAAAAAGAGACCTTGAGAAATAATCTGTACCAAAATATTCAGCAGAAAAATTTTGAGACATATAGACAGGATGGTATAGAATGCCTTGGACCCCCACCCAACCTGCTCTTCAGATTCGCTGAGAGCCCACCTGTGCTTCATAAGCCAGATGTATAGGTTTGCTTGCTTTGCTTTTTCAACAAAGGTGTATGCTTTAATTGCCTTAATAAATTGGCTTTTCACAACACAGTCAAGGTCTCTTGGATAACTTCATTCGTATGAGAAGTCAAGGATCAAGGTTGGGAACAGACCTCTCCACTGGCTCAGGGGGCTGTCTGCTAACACCTCTCTGGTGTCAGTGAGAGGTGCCTATAACACCTCCGCATTACAGCTTTGCCCAAGGTTGACACAGGAGTGAGCCAATGTTGGATGTCTGATGTCGGATGTCGGTAGGTGGGGCCCTTTCTGTCTACACCAGTGGTTCTCAACCTTGGCTGTACATTAGAATCACCTGGGAATCTTTTTAAAATCCTGATTTCTGGGCCTCAGCCTCCGGAAATTCTGTTTCTTTGTTACTAATGTTGTGGCCCCACCCCATAACAAAGAAACAGAATATCCGGAGGACGAGGCCCAGAAATCAGGATTTTAAGAAGATTCCCAGGTGATTCTAATGTGCACCAAGGTTGAGAACCACTGATCTACACAGAAGTTTCCTTGGTCTTTCCTCAGGTTCCTCACCTTAACGCTTGGCAGCACCTGGAACTCTTTCCTCTGTTGATCTGACGTTACAACTCTGCCACTAAGCTTCACTTTCTTCAGGCTCCTAAGGCAGAAATAAGGAAGCATCACATCCAGGAAACTTTTCTGGGGCTTCCCAGGGTTGATCATAAGGGTGGGGCTGGGGCCTCCTCTATCTACAGTGGGAGCTCCCCTCAGTCCTTCCTCAAATTTCTCACTTTGATTATTGGCAGGGCTTAGAACTTTTCTTCCTGGTGACCTGAGACCAGCCCCTTCAGACCAGGGATCCATCTCTGGGACATCCCTAATCCAGAAAAGGGAAGGAGGTACCCTTATCCTCCCAGCACTGCCTAGGGCTGACAGCAAGAATTAGGGCCAATTTCCATGGGGACCTCTCTGGTTCTGAATTGGGGGGATAGCTCAGTCTTCCTCCAGGTATTCATATTTACTCCTGACAGGGCCCACTCTGTTGGCCTGAGGATGTGTCCTGAAAATCAAGGCCATCTCTCTGAGACCTTGACATGTAACTGGGGATTGGGGGTGATTTTTCTGTCAACCATGCTTGGAGCCTCACAGGACTGATAGCAGAGGAAGGCGTCTGTGGGAAACTCCTCTGTCTGTGGTGGGAGAGTTCTTCAGGATCCTTACCTTGAAGACTGGCAGAGTCTGGGACTCCTCACCTCGCTGACCTGATTCTGGTTATCTCAGTTGAAGCCTTATCTCCCTGGAACTCCAAAAGTCAAAGTCGGAAAACAATACCTCCAAGGATCCCCAGACTGAAAGCAGGCTCAGAACAGGCTAGGGCTCATTCGGTTCTGTAATGGCTCCTGACTCCTTAATTAAATGCTCTCTGGGAGACTCCGCCCCCCCTCTGCCAGCTGGAAGCATTTGCTCAACTGCAAGTCTTTCAGAAAATGGTTTTGGTTCCCAGGTTAAATGCTAGTTGGGAGAACAGCAGCACCCATGACAGGTGGTGGAGATTCAGAAAAGAACCATACCTTTCTATGGGGTTTCTTCACCCACCATACAGTTGGAAACATTTTGTTCCTAAAGTTTATTTTCTACACTGAAGAGGTTGAGCAGCATGATGTGTGGCCTCCCTAATTTTTGAGATTATCTAATATTGCATTGTTCAGTGCAGTAATTTCAGTTTTTCTTAAGCTTCCCTGATATTAATAAATGTATTTTACATCTCTACCAAGCATGTGTGTACCTGTAGTTCACCCTGATGCTTGCTATTCTATTTTTAGTCCATTCCTTTTATTCTATTAAAATGTTTTATTTTTTTTTTAAAAAAAGCAGTCTTAGTCACTAAAGTGGTTTCAGGTGGTTATTAGCATGGACTCTGGAGTCATACTTCATTAATTAGCCAATCTTTCTGGATATCTGATACTATGCCAGGACGACTTGCATCTGTAGTCTGAGGTGATGCCTCAGATTTGTGCAATGAAGCAGGGGCAGAAGTTTAGAAAGTTTACTCCTGTATGTCCTGTCATCTGTCCTCTATTTCAGGTGATCAACACTCCCAAACTTCACTGTTGCCTCTCACTCCTCTGAGGGAAACACAAGTACTAGTAACTAGTTCGACACAGGGTTTCTCATGTTTTTTTTATTATTATTTAGATTTTGTTGTTGATATTTTTGGTAGGCTGAAAAATTCATACTGACCCCAAAGCTCGCATACCCCAGAACCTAGAACCTGTAAATTCCTCCTCCTTTGGGAGAAAGGTCTTTGTAGATATTATTAACTTAAGAATCTTTTGAGGAGTGGTTTATCCTGGAGTATCTAGGTTAGCCTTAAATGCAATCACATGTGTCCTTTTAAGAAGAAGGCAGAACAATCAAGAGAGGAGACAATGTGAATGTGAAGCAGCGAGATATTTGAAGATGCTGACCTTGAAGACTGCAGTCATGTCGCCACAAGCCAAGGAATGTCTGCAGCTACCAGAAGCTGGGAGAGGCAAGGAATAGATTCTGCCCTAGAGTCCCCAGATGAAGTGTGGCCCTTTGGGGCACTTTGATTTTAGCCCCGTGAAACTGATTTGGAGCATCTGGCTTCCAGAACTCTAAGAGAATAAAATTCTGTTATTTAAGTCAACCAGTTCATGGTAGTTTGATATAGCGGCCCTAGGAAACTGATATATAATCATGTATTTGTTTTCATTTGCCCCTTTAAAATTTTCCAGGCTTGATTTTGGGAGTGGAAGACAGCAATACAAACTTCATTGTCATTTTGGCAACTACAGGTAAGGCAATAAATCTGTAACTACTTTAAGGGGAATTGACATGCTTACTTACAGTATTTTGCTTCACATTAGTAAATATGGTATACTTCTCTACTTATTTGGGACATTAAAAAAAATTCTGAACCTATCAATAAACTTTTATATTTGCCTATATGAAGAGCTCATACATTTTTGTGATTTGTCATTTCTCTTAGGTAACTTTTGGAGTTGTTGC